AATGGCTCACGCCTATAATCCTAGCACTCTGGGAGGCTGAGGCAGGTGTATTGCCTGAGCCACAGATTCAAGACTAGTCTGAGCCAGAGTGAGTTTCTAAAAATAGCCATTGTGATGGATGTCTGTAGCCCCAGCTACTTGGGAGACTGGGGCAAAAGATTCGCTTAAGCCCAAGAGTTTGAGCTTGCTGTGGGCTATGACACCAAGGCACTTTACCAAGGGTGACAAAATGAGACTCTTGTCTCAAAAAAAAAAAAAAAACTGGTTTCCAAGCTCATCTCTGGGAACTTGCTTTTACTTCTGGTCTGGGAGTTCAGGGATAGGGTGGCCAGGTGGGGCCTGGAGGCCTCCACTGGCCAACATGCTGCATGCCTGGAGGAGCTGAAGCCACCACCCTCCTGACCTCCCTCTGCTTCTCTCTTGTGTAGGTAGGGAACCTTGGCCTTCTTTTCATGCTCCTGTTTTTTATCTATGCTGCCCTGGGAGTGGAGCTGTTTGGGAGGCTTGGTGAGTGTGGCCACCCTCCTTCAGGGCAGATGCAGGTCCACCCACTTGTACACGGCCACATGTCCACAGACCATGCAGGATTCGGGGAACCGTGAGCCTCCTGGCATGTCCTCATCTGGCCCCCTCTGCCCCCTAAGTGCCACATGAGGCCTGGCGCATGTTGACAGGTTGCACACAACAGCTGCTCTCCCTGTTGTGACACGTGTGTGAATACACACAGACATACAAGAGCACACACACAGACATGCTCTTGCTCTTTTGAGGCCCATGTGGCTTCCAGGGGAGAAGTACTGGCCTTATGTCCCTTTAGATTGTTTCCTACCCAGTCCTGAGACTGCCTGCCTATGCTGGGACAGGTCAGGGTCCTTCACAGGCAGCCCAGGCCCTACTGGGATCTTGTGGGGCCCCTGCAGTGTCTTATGGGGCCCTTGTAAGCCTGGTCTAAAAGATTTTGTTAAAGCAGCTGTCCCAGCTCAGTGTGTGTCCACTGGTAGGGCTCAATGCCCACCTGTACCCCAGACTCCTAAATGTGAGCTCCCATAGCCACCATACACGCAGTCAGGGACAACAAGCCTTCCAGTTTCTTCCCAGGGATCCTGTAGCCTGTCCTGGTCACCCCTGGCTAAGGGTCCCACTCCTATGTCCCTGGGTAGTGTTGAGGCTGGGTGTGTGCGGTGACCCCGCAGGCAGCTGACCAGGAGGTACCCTTGCAGAGTGCAGTGAGGACAACCCATGCGAGGGCCTGAGCAGGCACGCCACCTTCTCCAACTTTGGCATGGCCTTCCTCACGCTGTTCCGGGTGTCCACAGGAGACAACTGGAATGGGATCATGAAGGTACTGCCAAGGCTGCTGGTGGGGGCAGGGGTTGCAAGCTCTCCCAGGCTGAGCTGGCATGTCCTAAGGGGAGGATCCGGGGCTCCCTGTGCTAGGGGTGGCGACACCCACCCTACAGCTGCCTGCCCCCCAGGATACGCTGCGTGAGTGCACCCGTGAGGACAGGCACTGCCTCAGCTACCTGCCGGCCCTGTCGCCTGTCTACTTTGTGACCTTCGTGCTGGTAGCCCAGTTTGTGCTGGTCAACGTGGTGGTGGCCGTGCTCATGAAGCACCTGGAAGAAAGCAACAAGGAGGCGCGTGAGGACGCGGAGATGGATGCTGAGATTGAGCTGGAGATGGCACAGGGGCCCCCAGCCAGGGCTGACACAGACAGGCCTCCCTCACCCCAGGAAAGCCCAGACACCCCAAGCCTCCTCGTTGTACGCAAGGTGTCTGTGTCCAGGATGCTCTCACTGCCTAACGACAGTTACATGTTTCGGCCTGTGGCACCCGCCTCAGCCCGTCACCCTCACCCGCTGCAGGAGGTGGAGATGGAGACATACGTGGGCCCCTCAGGTACAACTCCTGGTGGGGCTGGCAGGAAGACTTGGGGTCAGAGGGAGGGGTTCCAGGTGGGATGGGATAGAGAACAGGTGTGGTAGAGGATGGGACCAGGTGGGAGGAAGGATCGGGGGGGCAGGTGGGAGGGAAATGGGGATAGCAGTTGGCAGGGAGGAATGGAGACCACATGTGAGGGGACATAAGTGAGAGCAGGAAGGAGGGGGTCAGGCAGGAGGGAGAGAGTACAGGGCCTAGTGGGCAGTGGAAGATTAAGGAGGCCACATATCTCCCTGCCCCAGGCACAGCCACTACTGCTCACTCGCCACCCGTGGAGCCCCATGCCTCTCTCCAGGTCCTCTCAGTCATGTCCTCCCCAGCCAAGGGCAGCAGTGATGCTCTCCACAGCCCCTCCCCTCGGGGCAGGCCCCGCTCCCCCAGCCTCAGCCTGCTACTCTGCAGACAGGTAGGACACCCACCTTCACCAAGGTAGGAGCTGGGGCTCAGGGTTCTTCCTTTTT